ATGGTCACCTAAAAGGACAAGAGACCAGCAAAGAGATGCTGACAAAAATGACAAAAGTCTTGCAGTTAGTAGAGAAGCAAGTGAAGAGCTAGATTAGACATGCTACTGTCCAGGTCAGGGCTACAGATCCCGTTACACCAAGACACTGGTCGGGCAACCTCCAAAACATCTGTAAGAGCAAGTAAGAACTTTTTAAGTCCCCTTCCCTCTCCTATGTAGTAGGTGTATGTTTACCATCATAGCCAGCTTGGTGGGAGGGAAGAGCAGACATGCTGCATGTGGAAAGAGATAAGTAAACAAAGCCCCTTTCCTCAGTTACAGCTTTTCTGCCTACAGTAGACCTCAGCTGCCAGAGGGTTGAACACTCAACTCTATACCAAGTTCAGGGTTTTGATTACTGCATGATTATCGAACTGGAACACTGCTGTGTGACTGGAAGCAACCAGAAAATGTCATGGGATTTCCAAGTTTCCATTTGGAGGAAGAATTAGTCCCAGTGGAAAAAACAAATAAATTTAAGGAACAATAGGAGACCAAACCATGTATGGATGAGCTCTTGTTCGGCCAATGATTATCTAATCAGGTCAAAGTTAGGGAGTCAGAGATAAAAACTCTCACTGCCAGTTTGACAGACCTTGTGCATGTAGAAAAACACTCAGCATTGCCTTTAAAAACTAACCAGAGTATAAATAATATAAAAGGGAAAAACTTCCAATATATTATTTTCAATAGAAAAAAAAATCCACGGTAAAAACTTGTATACATGTATAGAATTATTAAGTGTCAATTAAAAACAAAGAAAAAAAGAAAAGATAACAAACAAAAATAAATTTCCAAATGTACTCTTTTTGGTTGGAGGAAAGAAAAAAACTGGAGCCTCCGTTATAAATGGAAATATATGTAATACATCTCCCCTCAGACATCTAATCTGAGTGCGTAGCATAGACAAGCACGGGGATAAGGAGGGGACTCCTTCCTTATATCCATCCTTCACTGCCCCTGAGTGATCTTTCTCAAAGACAATGATTTTACCACTCTTTCCTTAGAAGTCTCAAATGCCTCTTCAGGAGGTTTCAAGGGGAAACCCAAAGTCTGCAGCACACGCACATGGTGCTCCTCAGCCAACATAGATGTTTCTTCCCCACCATGCCATGCCACATACACTCTTAGAGCTCTGTTTCCCAGACTTCAGTCACTCACACACCGCCTTCACAGTGTTTGCTACATTCACGTTCCCCCAGAATTGCTATCAACTTAATAGTTTTCTATAAACCAAGTAATGTTTTTACTTAAAATTATCCTCATGCTAAGCAGTGTCTTTTAGTCAAGTTTTAATGTGCCACTTTCAATTTTACTAAATATTTGACTATTACTCTTGAAATTAACTTTTTAAAATTAAGAAGTTGCTCTCTGTGTCATGTTACACCACCAGTCGTTCATGTAACACACATTGGTATGCACTGCTCTAGACAGAAACTACAGTGACTTCTTTGTTGTACACTGAGCATACTGTGCCTTTGAAACTATTGTTTTCCTCCTCTTACCAAGTCCTTTTGCATTATCTGGTAAAGTTATTCTCTTCCTTTAGGATTAACTTAACCCAAAGTTACCTTCCCATGGAAGCTTCCCCAAATCACTTAAAGCTAGATGTTTCTTCTCTGTATTCCAAAGCACTTTCTACCTACTTTCTACCTTTCTTCAGTATGACATTTATTACATTGTAGCGAGGGCCATACTATGTACATGTCTGTCTCCCTTATGAAACTGAGTAGTCATCCATGGGTTATCCCATGATCTAGGTCAGTACATAATAGATGCTCAATAAAAGTATTTGTTAAACAAAGAAAGAATGATAGGTATGTAGCCAAAACTAAGTTAATGATGTCATTTATAGCATGACTATCTCAGCACAATATTACTTTGGTTAAACCAAAGATGCTCCAAAGTCTCAATGTATGGAAGATTCTCTACAATTATCAAATAAGACTAATTAAAAAATTAAATGTTTGTGTTTTCCATATATGGCAGAAAGAACACAGAGCTGGAAGACTTGAGAAAACAGTATGCAGTTACATTGGAAGTCAGTGTAAATTGTTTATAAGACTTTGCATGTAAGTTATTCCAGTTATTCTTTTTTAGGAATCCTCCATTTAATTATCACTAACTAACTGCAAATTTTAAAGATAAAAGTTAGGGAAGCAAACTTAAAATAAAGCAAAGGATGATGAAAGCAGCTACCAAGCATTGGTTACCTCTGATGAAATGACCTCATTAAAAACAAACAAAAAAACTGTTACTAATATGAAGCATACATAAATCACTGCTCCATGGTAGCATCACCATGTGATAATCAAGAAAATTCCCTTTTCCTGTTGCACTTTTCCAGGCTTCCAGAAGAATGAGTCAGAAAATGTTCCGGGTATAGTCATACATGTGGGAGATCTTTTAATATTGACTTTTAATCCCAGCGAGAGAGTTATTCCTTCTTGTCCTTACTTTTCTTATATTTTTTATTTTGAATACTGATTTATAAAGGGTCAAAATATAAGTTGTTTTATATTTTGCTTATACTGAAAATTATAATGCTTATACAAATAAAATCTTCGAATGCTTTTACAGGGATGGGGTCTCCCAGCAGAATGGGGCAAGGCATGGCACTGAAAAGTTAACAAGACAAAAACAGCTGCTCTAAAGCTGCACTCTGTGTTAATCAAACCATCTCCCGAATAGCAGGAAGGCTTATATCAAACACCTTAATTTGCCCCCAAGGCCCTGTTTTTACCTTGATTTAACAATTTCCAATGATAGCAATCTGTTGTCCTCATCCCACACAAGGCCTCAAGCTTGGGGTTCTGCTGCTCATACCAGCTTGCCTTAGGTAGCCCCTCAAGGAGAAAAGCTCCCCAGGAAGGAGATAGAGCTTTATTTTTATCCCAGTTAAAGTCCCTGTCCAATCCATTAACAGCTTCGATAACCTTGGTCCAGGGCATTTCCTGCAGAAGCTATAACCAGCTGGGGTTAATGAACTCTCCCTACCATTAATTCCTGGGAGAGGCCATTGGCCTGAATTGTTACTTAATTACTCTTCTGTGTACAGCTTCATAAAGCAATGAAATGCCTTCTTTCAGGAAGAAGGGAGATGGTAATGGGGGTCATCAGAGGCCATTAATTTTACAAATAGTTTATTGGAAACGACAGTATGTTAAGAAGTTACTCTGGCTCACAAATCAACTCGATGTGGTCCTTCCTAAGTAGAGATCCAAAACTTCACAAGCTTCCGTGACTCGCATACACAAAAAGTCACAAACGGTACAGACTCTTATCAAAGGAACATACCTTCAGGTATGCAGAAATATATGCTTTAGATTCTGCAACTGATCATACCTTCCCCTCCAGCTCCTTTCCTAAAGTTGGCAGGAAAGACTCACTAAAGTCAGTTTGAGATATCATAAAATTTTCCAATTTAAAAATCTCTTTCAGGTAATTTCTCAGTCTTTGAAGGAGATTCTCCCTCTCCAGTGTGCTGCTCTTTCCTAAGATGGTGGCAGGTACAAGGAAAAGCTACGTACCCAGGAAGCATCACAGGAAAAGGTTTGGGTTTTCATGCCTCCCCTTCCTGCTCCTAGATCTGCTGGACTCTGTGTCCACCTCAGCACAACTGGAGGGCTTCTCTGGTCCACCCAGCCTCTTACCACATCTACAGACCACTTCCAGGTCTGAGAATGCTCAGCCGCTTTTTCTGCACCACCCTAGTTATACTTGCAACAACCTCCCCACCATACACAAAACGCATATACATACTGCATTCGCTCTTACCTCCTTCACCTGTTTCTGTTTCCTCACGGCAGTGTTCCCAAGCAAAACAGCCTCACTGCCCAATGTGCTGGAAGCCAGTACTATGACGTAAGGTTTTTGAGGTTAAAAAAAAGAAAAAAAAAAAAAAAAAAAAAAAAAAGCTTTTTAACGTAGATCTACCAACAAGGAGACAGGAATCCAACTAAAATCTGTCTACCTGCGCTGGCTTTCAGGCAGTACTTTTATTAGAAAAGGTTTAGGAAGTGGATTCTGGAATTAGCAAATGACTGGTAGAAGAAAAGGGGAGGTCTGAAAAGTCCTCGGGCATGCACAGTTATCTCTTCATGCCTCCTTATGGGTCCCATGTGCAAATTTAGAGGATATTAGTGTGAAACACGCAGTGGAAACTCAAGCTGTGACATTAGTAAGCTTGTTCTGCACAGACTCCAGTTGGCCTTATTGGTTCCAACCAATTTCAGCTAGGTTTTTTGTTTTAAAACCTCTCAAATAGAGGGAGTTTCAGCATTTCTGCAAGTTGTTCATTTTCTTATCTGCTATTCTGCAAGCTCAAGAATTTCCGTTAGTCACTGGTTTCTTTAACTCTTTGGGGTATGGTTTCAGCAGTCTCCTCTTTTATCGTATCAAGTAAAACTAATTTTATTTATTTTATTGATTGTGTTACCAGTTCCCCCTACACACATGCACACACACACACACACACACACACACACACACACACACACACCCCTTAGAATATAAACTTCATGAGGTCAATGGCTTTTGGCTGCTTTGTTCACTCTTTCTCTCCAGTGCTTAGAACAGAGCCTAGAAGACACACATCGTGCTCATTCAGTGTTTCACTGTTTGTTGAATGAATGAGTAGTTAGTTGGCTATATGTTGAAATTAGACTGCTGGCCAAAGGACCTAGACTTTCCATTTTAGTCACACTGGGGCAGGAAGAGAGCTTTATCTGCCAGAGAAATAAAAGATAGAGGCTGCTCCTCAAACTACCCAGAAATCAAATCTGTTGAACCTACTGCTACTTAGGGCAGACTTGGCCATGAAATCCATACACTTATCTAGGCTCTAGACTCTACACAAATGATGAGAAACCATTGCCAGCCACCCCACTATGACACGTTGCCCCACTTATCCTATGTCAAAAGAAGAGTCATGACCTCTCAGAATGTTCTGAGATTCTACTGGATAGTTCCAGTGGAGAAAGATTAGACTCCTCAGAAGCTAATTGACTAGGGAAGGATCAGGGAGACAAGATACACCAAAAGGGAGAGGTAGAGTTTATAGAAGAAATAAACGGGAAAAAAAGAAACTAAGGGGAAGAGAGAGCCAAATGATTTACATGTACTTGGTTTTCTGAGCCCGCTTTAATACTAAAGATCTTAATATCTGGAAATTCTGGCATACACCAAGATAGAGAGCAAAGATTATTTTTCAGGGCAGTTGTAAACCTACATCCAAGACCATGGTGCTTTATGGAAAGCAACTGGCCTAGAGCAAAAAGAGACTTAAATATTGATTACCTCTATTTCTTTATATTGTCTTATATAAACTTCCACAGGGTTTTATGTTGATAAACCATCTCTGACTATGTCTACTAATAGGATGTATATTCCAGCATTATCTCTGTATCCTGAACGTATCTTTACTAGGGTATAATCAGATCATGGGCAGAAGAATCAAAGGGCTGAGTTTTGTCATGGTTAAAATGTGGGGATTTGAGGGAGAAAACAAGTTAACTTAATTTGGTTTCTACATTTTGGGAATCTTCCCCAGTTACTCTGTTCTTGACAAATGCAGCCATTTTTCCAATTCATTACATACATCTCTGTTGGCATTTTAGGGAATCTACAATGGAAGGACACAAGAAAGATCAACTGGATTAAGTAGTCATGATTATGCAAAGCCACATCCAGAGACCAAGGTGTAAAGCAGGTTTGCTACTGACCCCTTCCCTCATCTTCCAGCCTTCTTCTCACCTTCTACTCCTGTTATGCACCCACCTCCACACCCGACCCCAAGCATGCCATACCCTCCTGAAGTAATTACTATAAATCCCCCATCCAAGCAAGCCCTTCCAAGATAGGACTTAACTTTCCAATATTACCCTTCATTCCTATCTAAAACAAAAGCCCCGGTGCCTCACTACACTAGTTGTGGTTAATCAATTCAAACACAAACCAATGAATTAATTTACATTAGAAGAAAAAGAAAAATATATCAAGAGCCTCCCATGTACCCTTTCTAAAATACTCTAGAGTTACCATTATTTCATTTAAATTTACTTCAAAAAAGATGTTTGCATTTTTGAAAGCTATGCCTAGAGCCTATGTGTGTGTGTGCTTAATGGAATGACTCTCATGGTAAAAATTTCAAACTTTGTAGCAGACAAGTGAGGGAGAGGTGTTGAGCTGGGAGGAGGAAGGGAAAGAATGAAGCCCTATTATGCTGGTGGAAACCCCTTGTGGCTATGCAGAATGCCAGGCCCAACCAGAAGTGATGTGCCAGGTGCTGAGATAAAAGTGTTCAATAGATGTGTATTGTATGAGCGGGTTTTGTGAATAGTTTATCTAAGAAAAGATTTCCAAGAGAAACATTTCTCTTCAATGCTAGGGGTTATTTAAGGAAGCAAAGCTTCTCATGAAACCAGAGTGGAGGTGCACTTAGATTGAGCACTTTGGAGGAGAAAGCCTGGGAAAGACCCTTGCTGACTGAGCTGAGAATTATTGAAACAGTTGTAGAGCATGACCAAGAAATGTAATTTTTCAAGAATGAAAACGGTATGCCCCCAGAGAGAGCAAGGTTAATAAACTAGATGTCTTCTAAATATCCTTTTTGGCCCAATGATTATTGATCTTGAGATAACTGGCCCTTGTTCATTTTGGGGGCTGAGTCTATAGGTCGGAGAAAATGGAAATCTTTAGATTGGCTCAGTCAAAAAGAAATATTATCAGTTTGAACACGGACCTTGAAAGGGATATGCAGAGAATGGATGAAGCAAATCAGAAACTTCTTCTCAAAATCCAAGAGAGAGAAGATAAGATTCAGAGGTGAGTATTAAGGTTTCATGAGGGAGGGTCCCAATCCAAAGAAGGGGTGGAGGATCAAAACCAAAACTGAATTTTCCTGCTTGTTCTAGAGACCTCTATCTTGTGTGTCAGGAAGTTACTTCTTCATTCTTTGACATTTCTCTTGAACACTGAAGCACAGCAAGTTTCAAATAGATTCCTACAAGATGGAGTTGAGAGAACATTGGGGTGTTTGGCTTAGGAATCAGGCAGGTCTTCCTTTTTATAATACTGAAGTGATCATGATCCTGTGGATTCAGTAAGGAAGAATTTTCAGCTTGAGATTCATGTACACTGTCCCTGAAGTTCCCTTATATCAGACATCTGTGTTTTATCAGTTCTGAAACTGCCAAGCATGGGTCTTCATGGCATATGCTTGTGTTGTCCAGACTGGAAAGTGAGATCACTCAGACGGGGGACCTGGTGGAAGATGAAGAGTGGGAGAAGGAGAACCACACCACGATGGAAAGGGAAAGAGCCTTGCAGGAGCTGGAGGAAGAAACAGCCAGACTTGTAAGCAAGAAGTTGGGAAGAGCCGTTTAACAGGTTGCATTCCTCATTCCATCCTTCATCAATTATCAGATAAGCTTATCTCTCCTTTTTATACATGAAGAGTAGCCACCTCAAAAGTCATGTCAGAATTTGTCCATGCATGGAAGGGGATGTGTTTGGCTTCTTGGCAATGTTTAATAATTGGGAAGCCCTACAGATGGGCACCTATATCCCTGTATTTTACCTGTCGTTTGATTTCAATATACACACGACATTATGCAAATGAGGTCAAGTTACTGAAGGAAAATATAGCTGGGGTGAAATGGACAGCAATCAACTGAATGAGAACAGGTGGAGTACAGAGGCAGACTTACACTGTTATTTCTCTCTCACAGGAAAGGAAGAATAAGACATTGGTTCACAGTATAACAGAACTTCAACAAAAGGTGAGGTGGGGTTCTTGTGTTCTCCAGTGCCCCCACAACAGCCCCACTCATCAAAGAGGCAAGGTTGGGGGGAAGTGATCATAGAGGAACCCGTAAGTCAGAGAGGCCTGTATGGGGAGTGCATACTACTCTCTAATCCACTCTCCTGAGGCCAAGGTTCATGACCTAAATGTTATGGATTTTCTGAGTAAGCATGAGGGGAAAGGAATGGATGGAATATTTAGTAATCTCATGCGTTCTTCATTCTATCACCAGAAAATGGGTTCCAACAGATACTCTGTTGAAGTCATTGACTGAAACTTTTGTGGTGAGAGGTTAATTTTACTTTCAAAAGAGAACTTTTAAACAACAACAATAATTAACTTAATCCCCAAGGATTTCCTTTTTCTTACCTAGCCATTTCCAATACCTCAATACCTCCTCAGAATACAGTGGGCTTCCAATGACTACCCTACTCTCTGACCCATGAGTAGAGACTAGCCCTCTACTGTAGAGGGCTGTATCCCTGAGTAACCCAACATGAATCGGGATTGAGGAAAGTACTCCTGCCTTGAGTGGACTCTAGCATCAGTGGCCAAGACTAGTGAGAAGAAGATGGAGGTAGAACAAAGATGTTTTCCACAGGTCACCAAATATCTACCAAAGGACTATGTCCTGGAAAGTTTTATCAAGGCCATAGTTACTAATCACACACCAGAGAAAGTCTTTGCCTTCTACACCTTTTAATTTAGTACATTTTTCTATTTGAAACTATAGCTTACAAGGAAATCACAAAAGATAACCAACTGTGAACAAAGCAGTCCAGATGGAGCCCTAGAAGAGACAAAGGTAAATGAAAAAGCAATCCTAAATGTGGTTGGGCTATGTAACCAGGAAATAAGCTGTTAAGTTGGAAATCATTGTCAACGTTGTGACAAATTCTTGGTAGTTTTCCCCCATATCAAGCTTAAGCTTGAGCCACTGAGTGCTGAATTCTTCTCTGCCCTTAGTAAGGAATATCACTCTTAAGTCTTATTTATTGTTCTCTCTTCTGTTAGGAAGAGGAGGGCACAAATGCATATGTAACATGTGGGGGCAGTTAAAGTCCCCAGTTTAAAGCCACAGCACATAATTTGGTGTATGAAGTTGGGTAATTTAATTACTCCCCCTTAGCCTCAGTTTCAAGATTAAATGAAATTGTGTATATAAAATATTCTCTCCTTTAAGTTTTACGTAATTATTTAAAAGTCTTACTGAGGTGCATGTATGAATTCAGAGAGGCAGAACTAGGATTTGTAAGTCTACTGAGTCCTCGGCAATTTATGTACCCTGTCATGGATTCCAATCTAGAAAAGGATTCAATTAGTCACTCAAGTATTTAATGTGACCACTACTTGCTAAGCACATCATACTCTGCTTGGCATGTTTCTAATTGTGTTCCAGAGATAAGAACCTGAGACCAACCGCAACCTATTTGATGAGAGAGAGAGATAAATTTTTTAATATATTCAGGGGGTACAAGTGCCATTTTGCTAACACAGACGTGTTGCATTGCGGAGACTTTATTTTTCTTCAGAGAACAGATAACATTTTTTTGACACCTTCTCTAGAATTACATCTTTGTCCTTGCCTTATCCAACTTCTCTTTACCCTCTAAAGCCTACACTTGGTTGTGTGCATGAAGCCTCTGAAGATTTGGATACATAGAAAATAGAAATAGAAAATGAAAGTATGGAGAATTACTCCCCTATCTTCTCCTGGCCAATTTAGTTTTGATGACCACAAAAATAGGAAGTCCAAAGCCACCAAATAAGCTTGCTTGGCTGTGCTCATTCAGGTAAGTTACCTGGAAAGAGAAATCTGGAAGAAATTGGAGCCCAAATTAGGAAGAGCTATAAAGACTCCTGACTGCACTTGCCATATGATTCCAGTGGTCAGGACACTGATTTTCTTACAAAATCACTTATTTTTCCCAGAAAATAAGCCCAGTCAGAATTGAGTGGTGACACTTTAAGGCTGGCTGTGCTCACTATGTCAGGTAATAGAGAATAGAGTCTCGTGTTAGTCAGAATAATGGCCATTATTTTGCTGGCTAGCCCTAAAGAGTTCTAGAGTATTGTTTAATCCTTTGAACCACTCCTTGCCCACGTATTTTATTGAATTATCAGGTGATAGCTCTAATTCTGTGAAATGTACAGAATCTCTTTTGCTTCTGTTCCTCTGGCATGCTAGTCATCAGTGCAGCAGCTTTAATGGAGTGTCTAATTCAACCCTTTGTGACTCACACTATTGGCTTGAAACTATATATCCCTTAGCACATTTGGATAACTGGTCCTGGATGTAACTAACTGAAGAGTGAAGCAACAACTCTCAGAAGAATCTGGGTGTGAAATAATAGCACCTAGGTGAAAGTGGGAACAGCAGAGCCAAAAAGGGAAGGAAGAATGGGCATGTCTGCTCTTCTGCCAAATTATCTCCCAAATGTATCCATTCCTGTCTACCACTTCTGTTACTACTATCCTTTTGCAAGCCACCATAACCCCTTACCTGGACAAAAGGAGTCACCTCTCAACCAGTCTCCCTGCTTCTACTCTCACACCCAAACGATCCTTTTCTTCAGACAGAGAAAAGGCTATTCTCTAAAAACATTAATCAGATTGTGTCTTTAGACTTCAAGCCTCTCCTGCCTTCTCACTGCAATTAGAACAAAGAACCGATATCCTTTTAGAAGCCACAAGGCCCTACACAATCTAGCCCCTGGCTACCTTATCCCACCTTGCTTCCTACCTACCAATTTCCCTTACGCTCTGGTCACACAACTCCCTCATACAAGCCAAATCTGTGATAACCTCATAGTCTTGGCCCTTGCCATACCCTTCACAGAGAACATCTTTATTCCAGATCTCCATTTAGCTAGCATTTATCATTTAGGCTTTAGCTCAGGTATCATCACATCAGAGAGGCCTTTGCCAACCACCTACCACCTCCTCTCACACCACCACTACCATCACTATCTTTAAACATTAATGTTTTTGTTTCCTTCATAGCACATACCATTATCATGTAGACGTATTTGTTGTCTTCCTACTAGAATGCCAGCTCTGCAAGGGTGGAGAGCTAGTCCATCCTGTCTACTACTGTATCCTAAGTACTACTCCCTGCCCCCCGACACACACATGCTTCACTCCAGCATAGCAGCTGATGTAGAATGGTCTTTTTCCAAGTATTGAAGGAAATAAAAGGGCGAGCAAGGCATACAGGGAGGGAGAAAGGAGTGAACAAATGCCTTAGAGCCTGATCGACTATATTAAAGGAAAAGGAAGAGTGAAGTTTTTCAAAACTGGTATTGTTTTTCAGAGAAATGGCTAAGTAAGAGTAGGAAGCTCAGAACTGAAGTTTAGGGATGAAGGTAGCATCAGATGAAGACTAAAAGATAAGGAGTATAAAAGAGCAAGTTGAACAAGCAACTGCAAAGGGTGCTGGGTAGTTTAACTCCTCCATCAGGAGACGTGTGAAGTCGTGGCCCTGAGGCTCCTCGTGGCTCGTGAGACCACCTTGGTGACAGCATTCCATTCCTGCACAGCTTTCACCTTGCCAAGTTAGCAGTCTCTTTTGTTTTCTTTAGGTTAAGTTACAACAGCTGGAAGCTTCCTATGCACGCCAAGAGAAGGAGCTGCTCAAGGTAACAGCAGGAACTTCAGTGTGACTTCTCCCGGAAAAGGGAAATGTGATCTTTGGTCAGACAATCTATTTCTCAAATGATTGATTTACATAAAGGTTCCAGATCCAAGACCATGATGGGGCTAGGGAGGGGTAAAAAAAGGAAGATAAACACAATCCCTGAGGTGACCTTCTCTTCAATGTTTTTTTACAGAATACACTCAACAGTTTATATCTTGCAAATATTAGTATCTATCTATTCCTCTCCCAACTGCTCCCAAATTCCACCTTTGACCAATAACTCCCATTTAGCTTATTTACCCTAAAAAAAGGAAATTCATTTGCCTGTACAGCAAAAAAGAAAACCTATTTAGAATAATTAGAAAACCACATTTAGGAGCTGGGACACTGGAGGAAGCAAGTATGCTTGTGTTCTTACAGCAATTTACTGAAATATATTTACAACCCAATTTTGATTTCCCAGGTAATGAAGGAGTATGCTTTTGTGACCCAGCTCTGTGAAGATCAAGCCCTCTACATAAAGGTAGAGCTTCTTGGTAAAGGGCTAGCAAAGGGTTTATTAAGGTACAGGATGAAATAGAACCAGGATTTTCAAAGAATACTGTCCAGAGCCATTTCAACACTTCAAGGTGGCGCTACTGGGAGACTTTAAGGTCGTCAGCACCCCACCTCGCTACCAATATCACTCTATTTGTCTTTGTCTCCCTGGGAATTCCTGCCCTGCTCTCCCACTCTCTGTGCTGTTAAGTTAATAATTCACACTTCTGCTATTTATAATGTCAGTGATGCCCAGAAACCTATCCGGTGGTAAGGCATAGTGAGAGATCAAGAGTAGTGGTGGGGTGAGGTTTATGAAAGCAGAGAAAGTGGCAGTGGAAATACCAAGCATTCATGGTATCACGTAAAATAGCAAGTGCTCATTACGCTTAGAAAAATTAAAAACCTCCTAAGTAGTAACTGGGGCTTCCTTTGTTTCTCTTTGAAGAAGTACCAGGAAACATTGAAGAAAATAGAAGAAGAACTAGAGGCTCGGTTCCTTGAGAGAGAAGTGTGAGCTTTGGCAAAGGAACATCCCGGTTTTGGTAGAAACTCCGTCTCAGCCTGCGTCAGAGCAAACAGTTCTCAGACCAATTTCTATGTGGAATTGAATGAGTTCCGACACCACATATCTTTGCCCTCTGTTACTGATCTGGTTGACCCTGGTAGATCACACCAACTTAAAACTTTCAGTCATTCTCCCATCCTTCTAAAAAGACCTCAAAAACACATCTCCCTTCATAATTTTATCACATTATCACATTATTATTTGGGTTGATACTAAGAGTAGAAACATGTACTTTAAAAAGAGTTGGTGGTCAGTCACCTTGATAAGTAGGCTATTCCTTATATATCACAGAAAAGCCTTTTAATTAATACCATCCTCACTTCCCCCAAATATATGGACACCCAACCATATTGGGTAGGCATGAAACTAATCTCTAGACTCATACCACAGCTACTACATTATATAAATCAGAACTGTACACTGTATTGAACTACAAACATTTAAAATTAGAAATTATAAAGGGAAAGCACTTCTCATAATACACTGAGTTTGTCAAGAGTCTAAATGGTGAGAAATTACCAAAAACCTCATCTTCATTTCTTGACCCCCTTTGTAAGTTAAATCTTAACGCAGTCAAGCAATATTTCTATTTATGAAATATTTTTAAATCCTTAGATCAAGAACAAGAGATCAAAACTGCATATAGCTTCTATATAGGCCAAATACAAACTGTGGCCTAGGGGCCAGGGTCCTAGGACTTGTAGGTCCTTGTTTCTAAAGGACACCTTCAAGTCACTCAAGATCCCTGCTGAACATTGGTTTATGGCTTGACTTGTTAAGCCAAGATTCTAGAACAGGTTGCCCAGCAGAATTTTCTGTGCTAGTTAGTAGGTAAAACTAACTACATATGGCAATTGAGTACATAAAAGATGTACTCAACTAAGGAAATGAATTTTAACTTTAATTAATTTAAATAGCTATAGGAAGCCAGTAGTTACAATATTGGACAGTACAGACGTAGAATATAAAGCTTTTTAAAAATAACAATGGTGTAGTATGAATATTTTAGTGCACTTTGTTCAATTTCTGTCCTGGCTCTTATCTTCATAGATCAAAACTTGTGAGCATGAACTCTGTGGAAAAAGAGCATACCAGGCAAAATAATGAGGTAAACACTCCACTCTCTCTTCAGCTCCTCACAGTGTCATTGCCTTTCAAAGACATCTCCAGCAAACTCTAAGGCACCAAATGTATACCCAGTCTTGCCATGTGCATTTTCCAAGAGAAGTACCAGCTATAATTACAGAGCATTCCAACCCTAAACAAACAAACTAGACTCTAATCTACTTTCTTCTCATTCAGTCATACAAATAACAGGCTCTTAAAAAACTAGCCAAAGACCTAAGAGAACTCAGAATGGAGGCAAGAAGCAACCTTAATTGAGGGTATGCTCTATAGAAAGAGGCCAGTATAGGGCACATACACCACCTCTTCCATCTCCTGCAATCACATTACTCTTTCCTGATGATCTCGACATGGTCCCTAATCTCTCTCAACACAGAGCACCCACCACCTAACATCATCTAGTCAGAGTTGGCCTGAGAGTTAAAACATAGAAAGCTATTGCTTCTTATTGCTTCTTTATGACAGTTTCAGTGTCTGTTCATATTTAACATTATGAACCCACCAGCACACATCTAAAGGTCTGAAGGAAACAGAACAATTTCATGCAGAGAACCAATCCTCTTGGCCTGCTTGATATCTTGTGGCAGCAAGAATAAAAGGTTAAACTTGGGTTGGGTTTTAATTTTGTAATTTATATTGACTTTAGAGTCCAGGTTAACAATCATCAGAAATTACATATAGTCAAGATAAATTATCAGAAAAGAGAACTAATCACTTCCTTAAAAGCAAATATCAAATATTGGCCATTGTGCTTGGGTCATCCAAATGTTTGGATATATGTTAGGCCATGTCCGTGGTTCTTAGAGTACTGAACAAGTCATTCTGGCCCTGAAGCTTGCATATTCTGCTTAGTAAACAAAATCCTTGAAATTAACTCGACCTACTTCTGTAGAACCAAGTTTTTGACATCTCCAATGTGTCCTACCATCTCTCCCCACAGCTCATCAAAATATTCCTTCTAACTATGTGTGAGAGGAAAAAAATAAAGTTGTCTACATCAAGCTCATCAGGGTCCCATGATGGTTCAATGACCTAATGTTGTCTGAGCATCTTTGGAGAGAGGATGCCTGAGAACTGACTGTTTGGCATGACATGTAATCTTAATCAAACTACAGAACAAAATTTGTAATCCTGAAAGCTTCTTTGTAATTCCAATTCTGTGAGCCTCATTTCCACAGCTCTAATTTTTTTTAGTAGAAAGAGGAATTCTCACTATGTTGTTCAGGCTGGTCTTGAACTCCTGGGCTCAAGGGTTCCTCCCATCTTCGCCTCCCAGTTAGCTAGGACTACAGGCACCCACCACCATGCCTGACTTGCTCTAAAATGTGATCGTAATTCCTCTTTTTATCTCACAAGGAAGGTTAAAGGACAATGAAACAACAGAAAATATTTTGAAACAAGAATGCTACAGAAATACAGGACATAGCCTCATCTTTAGATTTATTTTTTTCTTCAACTTTTAAAGTTCAGGGGTACATGTGCAGGATGTGCAGGTTTGTTACACAGGTAAACGTGTTCCATGGTGGTTTGCTGCACAGATCATCCCATCACCTAGGTATTAAGTCCAGCAGCTATTAGCTATTCTTCCTGATGCTCTCCCTCCCACTACCTCACCCCCGCTGACAAGCTCCAGTGTGTGTTGTTCCCCTGCATGTGTCTGTGTGTTCTCATTATTCATCTCCCACTTATAAGTGAGAACATGCAGTGTTTGGGTTTCTGTTCTTGGGTTAGTTGGCTGAGGAAAATGGCTTCCAATACCACCCATGTCCCTGCAATATGTATATGTATCACATATTCTTTATTCAGTCTATCATTGATGGCACTTAGGTTGATTCCATGTCTTTGCTATTGTGAACAGTGCTGCAATGATATTTGTGTGCATGTGTCTCTATGACAGAATGATTTATATTCCTTTGGGTATATACCCAGTATTGACATTGCTGTGTCAAATGGTATTTCTGCCTCTAGGTTTCTGAGGAATTGCCACACTTCTTCCACAATGGTTGAACAAATTTATACTCCCACCAACAGTGTAAAAGCATGCCTTTTTCTCTGCGACCTCACCAGTATCTGTTGTTGTTTGACTTTTAAATAATAGCAATTCTGACTGGCATGAGATGGTATTTCATTGTTGCTTTGATTTGCATTTCTCTAATGATCAGTAATGTCGAACTTTTTTTCGTATGTTTGTTGGCTATATGTATGTCTTCTTTTGAGAAGTGTCTGTTCATGTTCTTTGCCTACTTTTTAATGAGGTTGTTTTTTTCTTGTAAATTTGTTTAAGTTCCTTGTAGACTCTGGGTGTTAGACCTTTGTCTAACATAGTTTTCAAAAATTGTCTCCTATTCTGTAGGTTGTCTGCTCACTCTGATGATAGTTTATTTTCCTGTGCAGAAGCTCTTTAGTTTAACTAGATCCCGTTTGTCAATTTTTGCTTTTGTTGCAATTGCTTTTGGCATTTTCATCATGAAATCTTTGCCCATGCCTATGTCCACAGTATTGCCTAGATTTTCTTCTAGGGTTTTAACAGTTTTGGGTTTTACATTTAAGTCTATAATCCATCTTGAGTTAATTTTTGTATATTATGTAAGGAAGCAGTCCAGTTTCAATTTTCTGCATATGGCTAGCCAGTTTTCCCAGCACCATTTATTGAATAGGGAGTCCTTTCCCCATTGTTTGTTTTTGTCAGATTTGTTGAAGATCAGATGGTTGTAGGCAAGCAGTCTTATTTCTGAGTTTTCTATTTTATTTCATTGGTCTATGTGTCTGTTTTTGTACTAGTACCATGCTGTTTTGGTTACTGTAGCCTTGTAGTATAGTTTGAAGTCAGGTAGTGTGATGCCTCTAGCTTTGTTCTTTTTGCTGAGGATTGTCTTGGTTATTGGGGCTCTTTTTTGGTTCCCTCTGAATTTTAAAATCATTTTTTTCTAATTCTGTGAAAAATGTCAATGGTAGGTTAATGTGAATAGCATTGAATCTAGAAATTATTGATTCTTTCTATCCAGGAACATGGAATGTTTTTCCATTTGTTTGAGTCCTCTCTGATTTCTTTCAGAGTAGTTTGTAGTTCTCCTTGAAGGAGTCTTTCATTTCCCTTGTTAGCTATATTCCTAGGTATTTTATTTTTTGTAGCAATTGTGAATGGGAGTTCTTTCATCATTTGGCTCTCTGCTTGACTGTTGTTGGTGTATAGGAACGCTGTGACTTCTGCATACTGAGTTTGTAGCCTGAGACTTCGCTGAAGTTGCTGAAGAGGCTTTTGGGCTGAGATGATGGGGTTTTCTAGATGCAGGATCATGCCACCTGCAAACAAAGATAGTCTGACTTCCTCTTTTCCTATCTGAATACCCTTTATTTCTTTCTCTTTCCTTACTGCCCTGGCCGGAACTTCCAATGCTATGTTGAGTAGGAGTGGTAAGAGAGGGCACCCTTGTCTTATGCCATTTTTCAAGGGGAATGCTTCCAGCTTCTGTCTATTTAGTATGATATTGGCTGTGGATTTGTCATATGTGGCTCTTATTATTTTGACATATGTTCTTTCAATACATAGGTTATTGAGAGTTTTTAACATTAAGGGATGTTGAATTTTATCAGAGGCCTTTTCTGCATCTTGAGATAATCATGTGGTTTTTGTTTTTAGTTCTGTTTATGTGATGGATTATATTTATCGATTTGTGTATGTTGAACCAACCTTGCATCCCAGGGATGAAGCCAAACTTGATCACTCACCTTTAGATTTTTATAGCTTTTAAGACTTCTCTCTTAAGATATGTTTATGTAGTTTTCTTAGCCTATAAGCTTCTCTAAGGGTCACTGGTTAAGCAGAAGATAGAATGGAATAGTTGAGAGAGCCAAGAATGTGGGGTCAGACAATCCAGGTTCCAGGCCCGATCCTGTCACTAACTAACTATGTGACCTTGGGCAGCATACTTTGACTTTCTGTGCCTTAGTTTAGTTATATAAATATGTAAAAAGGTAGGACAAATAACAATAATAATAAATATATTTTAAATTTTTGGCCTGAAAATTATATGTGCTTATGCATATAAAAAGAATTTGTTAAAGTTATCTAAATAACATATAACTAATGGCTCACTAAATATTATTGGACAATGATAATAGCCTCCAGAAATTGCTTATTTATCAATATCCTTTCTTCTTCTTCCAGGGTACTCCTACCCAAAAGACAGCAACATTTTTCAGTAGAAAGTAAGTAAAATATCTTCAAGTAAACTTCCTATAAAACTGGGAGCCCTATTTAGCCATCCTGACAGAGAGAAAAGTCTAGACAAGGAGAACCTTGTACATGCGTGTGCACACACACATACACACAAGTCAGCAAACTAACGTCTTTGACTGTATTTCTCTATTCTAATGTTATGACTTATTTATTTAAAGGTAATTAATAATCTCAACTTTCCATTATTAAAAATCAACAGCCTTGTGGTATTAAGAAATAGAAATTTGATTATGTAAAAGAGATGTGGCAAATCTCTTATTTACCACCTTCTCCCTTTAACAATTTGGATTCGCTTCATGTATCTGGTTTCCTAGTAGCATTGGTAGAGTAGAATGAAGCCTGTCACATGCTAGTATACCACTGACAAATAAGAGATAGAAGAGAGACAAGCATTATGAGAAAGAGCATCTAACACATAACGGTTGCTTGAAAATACTGGTTAAATTGAAAAGAATTTAAGATTCAAACACCTGAGTAGATATTCATCCTGAGGGAAACACTGTGATAGCAAAGTAAAATTGGTATTCATGAAGCTATTACATTTTCAAGAAAAGGTCAAATTATATTCAATATAGTCTGTTTAAGAAGGCATAAAGAAACATATATTCAAAATGGTATGAAATATGATTTATAGAAAGTTCCATCAAAATGTTTAACGTAAAATTATTGATGCTTAAAGGTCAGTTCCAATTATCTAGAAAATTTGCTTAAGTAGAATACCCCTTCATACCAGATAAATGAAATATTACATCTTTCAATATTCCTAGATACAATATTCCTGAAACAACTAGACGAATTTTCTCTAGAACTCCTACTTGTTCTCTTATACTCCAACACAAGGGCCCACCATGGAATTAACTGTGTGGATTTCTAGAATAAGGACTGTCTGCCTAAACAGACTTGGCATCCTGAAGGAAATCTTAGAAAAGAGATCCTGAAAATCTAGCTAATCATGTCAAACTATAAATGCCTTTTTTCTTGTTCTGCTTCTACATCTTGTGGGGCACTGGTACACTGGACACTAACTCAAGAGACAAGAAAGCTAGGCTATTCCTAGGATTTTCCCTGAGAATGCAATCCCAGAACCTTCTCATGTGTATTGGCTCAAATTTCATGGAGAGTGGTGGGAAGATTTGTCAAGGGCTTCTGATTCTAATTTTGACCAAGGTGTTGTGCTATAATGAGTGCTGGCTCCTGTCACCAAGATCAACCATAGCAGCAAACTTGAGAAAAGTGGAGGGGAAGGGGCTGTTTTTGACCTTTAAAGGTGAATAGTGAATTTGTCCAGGGGCAGAGGCACCCCCAAAACAGCTGGGTAAGGATAATACAGGAAAGAAATGGTGAAGGTTTGCTCATGCAAATCATAACAAAGCCATAAGGCCTAAATAACTCATCAGTTGAAAGGGAAAAAAAAATCAAGACCACCATAGGGTGGTTTATAAAAAATTATTACAAAATGTTACAGATAACATGAATGAAAGAAGACAACATAATCGTGGATAGAAACTCATATCAAAACAGTAAGAATTGCCTCCAAATGATTAATAAATTCAGCCAAATTTCAATCAAACTCTCCAAAGGGTTTTTCATGGAACTGAATAAAATAATTCTAAAATATACTCTATATGAAGAATAAAGGGTCAAGAATAACCTGGAAAGTTTTAAAGAGCAGGGAGTGGGGAACACGCCCTTCCAGATATCAGGACTTACTATGACGTTATAGTAATCATTATGGTGTGGTATTGGGACAGGAATAGGAAAACTGCCTAGTGGAATGGAACAAAGAGTTCAGAAATTGTGCACATAGCAAACTTTGGTATGTGACAGTGACTGCGTGTCAAAGGAAAAGGAAGAACGAACTGTTCAATAAGAACAGCAGGAAAAAAAATGGTTATCTATATGAGATGGGATCACTAAATGCAGTATATACAAAAGGCAAGCCCAGGTGTGTTAAAGATGTAAATGCTTGAAAAAAAAAAAATCTTCGAAACTCTGTATTATTTTCTATGCTACATAATAAATTACCACAAAAACTTAGTGACTTCAAAGAACAAACAATTATTGGCACAGTTTCTATGGGCCAGGTGGTACTAGCCAAGTGGTTCTAGCTAATATCTGTCAAGAAGTTGCAGTTAGGATGTTGACCAAAATTGCAGTCATTAGAAGGTTTGGCTGGAGCTAGAAGTTATATTTCCAAGGGAAGTAACTTGCGTATCTGGCAAGCTTTTTCTGGTAGTTGACACAAAGTCTCAGTTCCTCACTGCACAGACCCTCCCATAAAGCCACTTGAGTGTCCTCACAACATGACTGCTGGCTTCCTCCACAGTCTGTGGAGAAAACTGCAATACCTTTATGATGTAATCTAGGAAGTTACACTACATACTGTGACTTCCACCATATTCCATTCTTTAGAAGTAAGTTATTAAGTCCAGTCCACACTCCAATCGAGGGGAATTCTCTTGAAAGGAGGAGTAATAAAGAATCTGTAGACATATTTTTAAATGAACATAGACTTTTAATAGAAAATATGGGTATCTTTCAGGTCTTGGGATAGGGAATTTTTGTAAAAAGGACACAGAAAGCATTGATTCTAATTAAAGAAAAGATTGACAAACTATACCCTATTAAAATTGATAATTTTTTTCTTTAACATCTTAGAGCAAGTGAAGGTTATAAAGTTGGGAGGATATATAACACCACACACAATGCAAAACGATTGATATCAACAACGTAAAACAAACTCTTACAAGTCAATAAGAAAAGCTAAAACTACCTTGTAGACAAATGGGCAAGAAGAAACACGTAAAACCAATAAACCTATCAACAGATGTTCAGCATCACTGTTCCTCAGGGAAATGCATATTGAGGCCACAGTGAGAGATTATTTTACACCCATTTGATCAGCAAAAGTGTTTACATCTGATAATCAAGTGTTGGCGAGGATATGGGTCCACAAAACCTATACCTTGCTAGAGGGTTATAAACCAATGAAACTGTTTTGAAAAACAACTTGCCAAAACAAAACCAAAAATAAACAAAACAAAAAATAAGAGAACAAAATTATTTTAGTGATAAATGCTACCAAGAAAATAAAACATGGTAAAGGATAGAGAATAACCAATAAGCCAGAACATGGGAGAGGGAAGCTGCCATTATAAAAGGTTGTCAGGAAAGGGGGTGATAATCCATGAGAGACATTAGAATATCAATTAGGAGACAGATATGCATTCAGGTATGATTTATTTTTTGTTCCAAGTTTTCTAACCTTCTGGTTAACAGTTTCATGGCATTCTCTTTTTAGGATTTTTTGCTGTCTCTTTTTCATCACCCTATTTTTCATCAGACTGCTGAGCTACCTGTTTTTTCACGTAAGATTCATAAATCCAGATCTCCTCGTCAATGTACTGCCCAAGGTGCTGAGCAGGAGCACCTTGTGGAAGCTCAGATGCTTCTTCTTTCCATCTCTCACACTTGAGACAGAGGACATGTTACCCCACTGATTCCTCAAGAAATATCCTTGAGCAACAGAAGCGAAGTGGGATCCGAGCGTGTAGAAGGGAGGCATGAAACTTGTGGAGGAAAGAGATTTGCTTCAGTTTTTTCCTCATCGTTTGCCTACTTGACTACCTTCCATCACCACATCATCTTTCCAGGATTAACCTTGCCCAGTAAAAAGCTCTGTAATAGATTTATGTGGCTCTATGGATCGGCTGAATTAGTACCTGATAGTAAACAAATCTGACCTTGGGGAATTACATAGATGCTAAGAAAAGTTAATTCATAAATTATTCTAGTGAGTCTCAAAAATCTGACACATTGGATTCCTGAAATACAGAAGATTACTTACTACTTATATTAGAACTCATAGGTTGTAAGTGACCTTAGCTTGAGGTAATTTATAGCAAATCCATAAATATTTATATTTACATATTTAAACATAGAATAAAAAGCCTATGAATAAATACACCAGGCAAGAAATCAGAAGACTCCATCAATTATCCGTCTTTCAAGGACATCAATTTAACAACTATCTACATAAAGAAAGCACCTTTATAAGAACCAAAAATCAGATGAGCACTCACAGTCTGTAGTTTTAACTTCATACTGCTGAAAGAGGCACTGAAGAGATAGGAAAAACAGTCTGGAATCACCAACGCCACCCCTTCCCCATCCTCCAGCAGTAGGGGTGTGGTGTGGAGAGCATTTCTGAGTGCTGGGGAGAGAAAGATTGCAGCATCTGTGAGATACTGAACTCAGAGCTTCCCTATTATAACAGAAAACAAAACCAGACCAAACTCACGTGACACCTGCCACAGAGGGATGATTTAAACCAGCCCTAGCTAGTGAAGAATTGCTGATCCCAGCTGTCGGAATTTAAGTTTTTGCAAGCCTTGCCACTGCCAAGCTAAAGTACTTTGGAGGCTTAAATAAAGTTGAAATTCCTAGGTGAGTCCTAGTGCTGCACTAGGCCCAGACACAGTGGACTTGGCAGGGAGCGGGGGTGGTCACCGAGTGGCTAAGGGAGTGCTGGAATTACCCCTCCCCTAATCCCAGGCAGCACAGCACATGACTCCAAAAGAGACCGTTTCCATCTGCTCAAGGAGGACTCAAGTTGGGAGGACTTCGTCGTGCATCTTGACTAGCAGTTCAGCCACTGCAAGATAGGGTACCAGTCAGAATCATGAAGCCCCCTTTCCAGGCCCTAGCTCCCAGATGACATTTCTAGACACACATTGGGCCAGAAAGGACCCTGCTACTTTGAAGAAGACTCAGTCCTTGAAGGACTCATCATCTGCTAACTGAAAAGCCTTTGGGCCCTGAATAACCAACAGCAATACTTAGGTACTATATGGGGGGTTTTAGGTGAGACCCTGAGAATTTCTGGCTTCAGGTGAGACTCAGCATAGTCCCAGCTATTGTGGCTATAGGTCAAGATTCCTTCTACCTGAGAAAAGCAGAGGAAAAAAGCAAAGTGGACATTGTCTTCCAGCTTGGCCACAGTGGGGTAGAGCACAGAGTGAGCCCTTGGGTCACCAGTTTCAGGACTTGGTTCTCGGAATACATTTCTGGAACTGCCCTAGGCCAGAGGGGATCTCACTGCCCTGAAGGGTGAGTCCCAGGCCAGGCAGCATTCACTACAAGCTGACTGAAGAGCCTTTCTTTAAAGAAACATTAGTGGTAGTCTGGCAGTACTCCCCCATAGGCCTATGGTGGCAGTGGCCATGGTGTGAGGCATCTCTGCTTTTGGAAAGGGGAGGGAAGAATGGGAAGAACTGAGACTTTTGGTTTGAAACCCAGCTCATCCGCAGTACAACAGAATATCAGGTAGACTTCTAAAGTTCTTGACTCTAGACCGTGGCCCCTGACAGCATCTCTGGACATGCACAGGGCCAGGGGGAACTCACCACCATGAAGGGAAGGACACAGGCCTGGTTGCTTTGCCACCTGCTGATTGTAGAGCCCCAGGGCCTTGAGTGAACATAGGACATAGCCAGGGAGTGATTACAGCAGGCTTTGGGTAAGACCTAGTGCTGTGCTGGCTTCAGGTCTAACCCAGCACAATTGTAGTGGTTTTGGCCACAGAGGTACTTGTGTTACACCACCCAGAGCTCCAGGTGACTCAGAAAAGAGAGAGATGCCATTCATTTGAGGGAAAGTAGGGAAAGAGAATAAGAACCTCTGCCTGATAATCCAGAGAATTCTTCCAGATTTTTCTCAAAGTCATCAAGGTAGTACCTCTACAAGTCGGAAAGAACCACAGTATTACTGGGCTTAGGGTGGCCCCTACAGCAGGTAATGGCTTAGATCACAACATCAAAGTCCTTTTGAATATCTGGAAGGCCTTCCCAAGTAGAATGGGCACCAACAAGCCCAGACTGAGAAGACTGTAATAAATGCCTAACTCTTCAATGCCCCAACACCAAACACCTACAAGCATCAACAACATTCAGGAAAACATGACCTCACCAAACTAAGTAAGGCATCAGGGACCAATCCTGGAGAAACAGAGATATGTGACCTTTCAGGCAGAAAAGTAAAATACCTGTTTTGAGGAAACTCAAATTCAAGATAACACAGAGAAGAAACTCAGAATTCTATCAGATAAATTTAACACCGAGATTAAAATAATTTAAAAGAATCAAGATCGAGCAGAAATTCTGGAGTTAAAATGCATTTAGCATACTGAAGAATGCATCAGAGTCTTTTAATAGCAGAATTTACCAAACAGGAGAAAGAATTGGTGAGGTTAAAGACAGGCTAATTGAAAATACACAGAAGACACAAAAGGAAAAAATAAAATGAAAAACAACAAAGCACACCTACAGGATCTAGAAAGTAACCTCAAAAGAAAAAATCTAAGAGTTACTGGCCTCAAAGGGGAGGTAAAGAGATAGGCATAGAAAGTTTATTCAAAGGAATAATAACAAAGAACTTCCCAAACTTAGAGAAAGATATCAATATCCAAATATAGAACACCAACAGATTTAACCCGAAGAAGACTATGTCAAGGTATTTAATAATCAAAACTCCCAAAAGTCAAGGATAAAGAAAGGATCACAAATGCAACAAGAGAAAAGAAACAAATAACATACAATGGAGCTCTAATATGTCTGGCAGCAGACATTTCAATGAAAATCTTACAGACCAGGAGAGAGTGGCATGATATATTCGAAGTGCTAGAGGAAATAAACATTTATCCTGCTATAGCATTCTGGTGAAAATGTCCTTCAAACATGAAGGAGAAATAAAGACTTTCCCAGACAAACAAAATCTGAGGGACTTCATCAACAACAGACCTATCCTACAAGAAATGCTAATGGGAGTACATTAATCAGAAAGAAAAGGACGTTAATGAGCAATAGGAAATTATCTGAAGGTACAAAACTACTGCTAATAGTAAGTACACAGAAAAACACAATATTATAACATAGTAACTGTGGTATGTAAACTACTCTTAAGTAGGAAAACTAAACAATGAACCAATCAAAAATAACTACAACTTTTCAGAACATAGACAGTATAACAAGATATAAATAGAAACAACAAGAAGTTAAAAAGTAGGGGTACAAAGTTAAGAAATAGAGCCTTTGTTTTCTTTTTTCATGTTTGTTTATGCAAGTAATGTTAAGTTGTTATTAGCTTAAAATAATGGGTTATAAGATAGTATTTGCTAACCTTATGGTAATCTCAAAAAACATACAATGAATACACAAAAAAATGCAAAAAAAAAAAAACAAAAAACAAAAGAAAAACTAAATTATATCACCAGACAGAATCACCTTTACTAGAAGGAAGACAGGAAGAAAAGGAAGAAGGAAGAGAAGACCACAAAACAACAAGAAAACAAGTAACAAAATGGCAGAAGTAAGTCTTTACTTATCAATAATAACATTGAATGTAAGTGGACTAAACTCTCCAATCAAAGGACATAGACTGACTGAATGAATTTATGAACAGGATCCAAAGATCTGTTGTCTAAAAGAAACACACTTTAGGCAAGAATAACTTCTTATATAAGACAAAATATATTTAATGAGTAAAAATATAAGAGATAAAGTCACTACATAATGATAAAGGGGTTAATTCAGCAAGAGGATACAACATTTTTAAATATATATGCACCCAACACTGGAGCACCCAGATATATATAGCAAATATTATTAAAACTAAAGAGAGAGATAGACCTTAATACGATAATACCTGGAGGCTTTAACACCCTACCTTTAGCTTTGGACAGATCTCCTAGACAGAAAATCAACAAACAAACATTTGATGTAATCTGCACTGCAGTCCAAATAAACCTAATGGATACTTACAGAACATTTCATCCAGCAGCTTCAGAATACACATTATTTTCCTTAGCACATGGATCACTCTCAAGAATAGACCATATTTTAGGTCACAAAACAGCATTCTCAAAAATTGAAATAATATCAACCATCTTCTCTGACCAAATGGAATAAAGCTAGAAATCAATAATGAGGAATCTGGGAAAGTGTAGAAATACATGGAAATTAAACAATATGCTCCTGAATGACTAGTAGGTCAATGAAGACATTAGGAAGGAAATTTAAAAATTTCTTGAAACAAATGATAATGGAAACACAACATAACAAAACCTACAGGATACAACAAAAGTAGTACTAAAAGATAAATTTATAGCTCTAAGTGCCTACATCAAGAAAGAAGAAAAACTTTAAATAAACAACAAAATGATGCATCTTGAAGAACGAGAAAAGCAAGAGCAAAACAAATGCAAAATTAGTAGAAGAGAAACAAAGATCAGAGCAGAAATAAATGAAATCAAAACGAAGAAAACAATACACAAGATCAATGAAACAAAAAGTTTCTTTATTGAAAAGTTAAACAACATTGAAAAACCTGCAGCCTGACTAAGAAAAAAAGAGAGACGATCCAAATAAATGAAATCAGAGGTGAAAAAAGTAGACTTGCAACTGGTCCTGCAGAAATTCAAAGGATTTATTAGGGGCCACTATGAGAAACCATAGGCCAACAAATTGGAAAATCTAGAAGAAATTGACAAATTCCTAGACAAAAACAACAAGATTGAACCATGAAGAAATCCAAACCTGAAAAGACCAATAGCAAGTAATGAGATCAAAGCTGTAATAAATAGTCTCCCAGTAAAGAAAAACCCAGGACCTGATGGCTTCGCTCCTGAATTCT